TGCCCCCTCCCCCCTCTCCAATCCCCGTCAGTAGTTCTGCGTCTAGAGCCTAGACAGCGGCTGCTGAAGAGCTGACAGACTTACAAAGGTTGGAAGAGGCTGCAGGGATCGAGCCACTAGTAGGGCTTCATACTTCCTGACTTCAGAACCACTTCTGCAAAAGCAGTTCACCCTCACTCCCAGACCTACCTTGCTTTCACCCTTTTATTCATTTTGCTCCTCAGCTTAATCATGACGGGTCCATGCAGGAGCAAGGCCATTCCGTAGCTGCAAACACAAAGCAAGCCTCTCCCACCCCCTCAAAAAAAGAAAGCACACCGAGTTGTTCCAGCACATCCAGCAGGCCAACTTCCAGAGGGCTTCTGTCAAGTGATTTTGATGTACTGCAATGTGTCAGGGGAGGAAGCAAGATCAGACATCAGCATCACAGCAAGGGAGTGAGTGTGACATAAAGGCATTAGGCTAACCAGAGGAATGATAAGCAGACATACATATTTATATACGCGGCACTGACATGCAGCTGAGCGTTGGCCCAGTTTGGAATTACATACTATTCAGCCCTCTACTCCCACTACAATCTTTACATTGACGTGACTGAATTGCAGGCACATTCAAGCATGCTTGTGCTATTGGCCTATCTGTTTCCTTTTCCCTCACACTTTTAAAATGAAAACTCTATAGCTTCTCATCCTAAAAGGAAAGGCGCAATGTAGCTCTGTAAGCAATTGTGTCCCAGAATATTATTTTGTTTGTTATTTCTGCAATAGTAGCTGGAACGTGCTAAATTAAAGTGATACAGGGTGGAAAATGATCTAATTATGGGTACAAAAAAATATAAAAGTCTCTTGATGCTCTCCTGAACTAGAAGCACTTCATATCAATCCTTCATATTGCAGGTTTAAGGCCCACACAGGGTATCACAGATCAGAACCTGGACAAGGAGAGGATATGAAGACTCCAGTTCTTCATCGCAGAACTGGGGTTAAAAATAAATCTCTCTCCTCCTCTGCCCCTAGGCTTTGAAGCCGTATGGGTTGTGACAGATGCCTGTTCGCTTAGGCTGCTGTGCAGGATAGGAATCTGAGCGTGCAGCTGAGCGGACAACAAAAGCTAACCGCGAGGGCCCGGTGGCCAGGGAACTGTTTCCCTGGCGACGGTACAAGGGGACCCAGGCCCCAGAGCAAGAGGGCCAAGAGAGGGCCAGACGGTGAAGGAGCATGGGGGACTGAGACAGCTTTTTCGGGGGGTTGGGATATTGAAAAACCAGTTCTGCTCCTGAGCCAACACTGTGAGCTCCTCAATTTCTGAGGCTGCGCAAGATGAACCATGCAGCATTTGCCAGGGACAGTGCAAGCACAGAAAAGAGAAACTAAGGAGTATATAACATTTATAATCATTTTGCAGAACAAGATAAAGTTTACAAGATGGAGTTTGAAAAAAATGGAGGAAATGCTTACTCCAGAAACAAGCTTTGAAACTATCATTTTGAGCCACAATATAAAACAATGTCCCTTATCTTTCAGCTTTTAAAAAGACTTTTAATATAACATTTCACTTGCTTCATATGGGAAAAGGATGACACATTTTTTCTGTGTTCTTTGTCACTCACTGTTTTTAGCTGCTAACAAAAGTGGATATTTTTCTTTTTTGCACCAGACCTGAAAACCTTTACAGGACCTTCAAAGCCTTGTTATTGTAGAGTTCTAGCTCTACAATTCAAAATTCATTCAGAGTTTAGGTTCTGGAACATTACAACAAGTTATCTGTTTTAGCTACAGATGCATTATTAAAGAAACAATGCTCTTGGAGGAGCAGTGATCTATGCTGATTCTATAAAGACAGAGTACACCCCACAATAGTCTATCACACCCTCCCTTAGTTACCACTGTAAGGCTCCAAGACTCACATCAGGAATTTCAATACTTTGTTCAAGAAAGTCTGTATTAGGTACTGTATATACACAGTGTGTGTCAAAGAAGGACAGCTCCTAGCAGTTTTGTAGCTGCAGAGAGAGGGGAGGGTATTCCAGTGAGGCAGTCAGAGGACTTTCTGTTGCCACTGGCTGTTACAGCTGTCAAATTAGGGATATAGTCAGATGATGAATGATCCCATCAGGATACACTCCTGAGGATATACTCTGTGAAGGCTATTAGTTTAACCTGTAGCTATAAAAAGCGCTTTTCCGGCTGAATGGGGACAACATTTTTTAATTCTTACTACACACAATAATAATGTAATTATCACGTTTCCTTCATCTGTGGCATGAATGTCTTCATCATGTCTTCCATGACATGATGAAGACATTCATCATGCTTACAGATGCTTCAGGTCCTGCATTCAAGATGGGTTTGTGGCTGTCCTTGTTTTGTGTTTGGTTTTGGATTGCATCAGTCTCATCTCTTGGTCAATGTTGCTCAATAAAATCTTGTCATGGGGCTCATATATGGTATTCATACTAGATATTGATAGGTGTTTCTGTGGCATTTAAATACAAAGTTATTTATGTCTTAATAAATTATCAGGTCATTTTCAATATATTCACTTCTGAGGGGCATGGGGAGGGATGAGAGTGACAAAGCACTGTTGTTGTTTTTCAGCCTGAACTGCACACATGCTATAGCCACATGCCTTAGGAGCACAGAACCTGGCTCTTTAACGTGCACCAAGCCAGGCACTGCAGCTTATGGTTAAGTTGAGTGGGGGGAGTGAATAAAAAGATTTCATGAGAAAAACAGCACAAGAAAATAATGAAATAATAGAAGCAGGGATTTTTCTAGCTCAGCTAAAAAGCCTTTCGCAGCAGTCAGCACATTTCCTAATAGGACAAGAAAAAAAACCAACACAGTACCGACTTGGTCTTCTGTGAGCCTTTTTCTCCACCCCCAACCTCTCCGTCTCTCCTTGCCCTGCTCTAGCCTCCTCAGTGCCATCCATCAGTGTCAGAGGGTGTCTGATGTAATGGCTTTTGACAGACAGTGCCTTCATGCACTGGGCAGGAGGTGAAAGGCAGGGAGAGAAGGGGGGGTGGGGTGGGTAGAGGCTGCAGCAGTGGCATCTGGAATGCAGCAGAGTGGCCGGCGGCAGAGAGGTAGCTGGGGACAGCGCTTCAGACTGCAGCAGTTTTTTTTAAAGAAAAGGAATCTTCCATCGGTCTCTATTTAAAGAGACACTGTCCTGCCAGTAATCACATGGCAATCCTCAGTTAAACCCGAAGCAGAGGACGAAAGTTGAAACTGAGGGCAGGTGCATTTAAAAGTGAGACCAAGAGGCACTTTTTTTGTGTTGTGGTGGGAGTACAATACACAGCTACACAGCTATGGTGTTGAAGCTGATACCCTGCCTTCTTTCAGGAACCAGCTGGATGAAATTCTTGGATCAGTTAACTAATGGCAAACAAATTAGCTAAACCTGTCAAATGGCCTCTTCTCATTTGTCACCATTCTTACATTCATGGTTATTTCTTTTATACTCTGCGGCCCATGCAATTCTCAGTCTTTCAAACGGAGACTAATACTTGACGTGCAATGAGCAACCAGATTTGGGAAAACTGCTAAAAAGACAAACACAGAAATTCTTCTCAGAGCATTATTATTCTAATTTTTCCACTCATTTTTGTTGCCTCTAGTGCAAGGGCCGAGTTGAAAAGAGAGACACACTTTTGCCAGTGTTCATCAGTGTTACAGTCACGTGTCGCAGAGGCATCAACACAGGCCCCAAGGCACAGAGGAGATGGTACATCTGTGACGCTGATTCATACTTTCTGTACTCTTAACCACATAAATTATTTAGCCTGCGTTTGTAATTTTCATGTTCCTATCTGGACAGACTAAACATTCATTTACTTATGTGATCTTCAGTCATCTTTCAGAGATCACACCCAAATACATGCAAATATACAACAAGGCATAATAATTCCTTATCTAGGTTTACCATCATATGATATTAATTATGATCATAACAATATTTGATTTAATTTAGCTAGACAGCACTTCTTATTCTGAAAAATCCCAGAGCACTTCCCATATAAGAGGGAACCTGAAGAGCAGCCCCTCCTGAGTGACACATAGCAGCCATTATGCACTAACAACCTCACTAAACTGCAGATCAAGTGGAAGAATGAGAAACTGCTTCACCAATTGAACCAAGATGAGAGTACAGAGAGGCAATGAAGGAATCCAGCCAGGACACAACGGGGTTTTAACACCTATATTCTTAAGAACAGTAGCATGGGATTTATAATTATCAAGCAGGATGCCAGTTTATTGTTTTAACGTGTTTCAAGTTTATCGGAATCTGAAGAATGGCTATTTCTACAACACGGTGTCCCCCATCACTGTTCTGGGGCAGTGGTTTAGAAACTGTACTCATAGGCATGAGTGCCACTTACTAGTTCACCAACACCACTTATAGCAGCAGTCTGGTTTTCCTTTGGGGTCTCCAATACCAGTACTGGTGAGATCCAAGCAGAGGATGGTAGAGTATGTCATGAAACCTGTAAGCTTTTAGCATCAAAACGTGGTCCTGCTGCCCATGTTGAGACCTGTACCACTGCATTTGATAAGTTATTTGTCAAATTTGTATTTTGAGGTCATAAGACAGGGAACCCATACCACTTCGTGTTTCAGCAAAGATATCTTATTTTGGTTTTGTGCATCTCCTGCATTACTCTCGGTATCTGTGACAGTTAGACTGCTTTACCCCACGCTTGCTTACTAGTTTTGTTTGAGCTGAATTTTAAAGGAAAACCAAGAGAAGGGTCAGAGCGTTATCGGTGCTGCATGTGTTTAAGTGCAAAATGGTTAAGTAAACGGATCTCAGATCTTTGTGCATTGCTAGCTGTCCAATTACCACTAATTTATACTGAAAAATAATCTTTCTAAAAAATACAACAAGCTGTTCAGATTTAATAATTGAGAACCATACAGAAAACAGCAATAAAACAATAAACAGGCAGGATGTTTCAAACTAGGGTCTCTAAGCAGAACTGCTCTTCTCTTCAGCAGATAATCAGCACAATGGAAACTCAGGTGTCCAACGGTCCGACCGCCAACAGTATCCCCAATGGCCCTGTCATCAGCACTAATGGTTCCACGGACGACAGCAAAACCAACCTGATCGTCAACTACCTGCCCCAGAACATGACCCAGGAGGAGTTCAAGAGCCTGTTTGGCAGCATCGGAGAGATTGAGTCCTGCAAACTGGTCAGAGATAAAATCACAGGTAACCCCATGATAACCAAGTACCCTGCATTATTCCAAAACACCCTCCAAAAAACTGGGCACACTTTAGTCCTTGATGGTCCATACCCCCCCCAAAATATATTATTGTTTATTGTTAATCATATGTGGAAGCTGGTACTCACTGATGTGTTAAGTGAGAATTAAGTGAACTAACAGAAGTTCAATTCCTGCTATCAGCAATATTCAGTATCGCTGATTGTACTTTTCCACATCCTAAGCCTTCCAACAGTCAAGGTCTGACACCAGCCCAAACACAGAGGTGTTTATTTAAGTTGAATCCTCATAAATTGCATAAAAGATAAAACAACACACAGTTATCTACTTTTTTCCAAATTAGTAAATACCAAAATCATTCAATATTAACAGAATCTTACAACCCCTGGTCTCGCCTACTGGCATTACAAATCAATAATTTCCTGAATGATGCTCATGGCTAAATGTATCTCTATGCCAATCAGCTTCGATACATAGGAACAAACAGGTGTGTTAGTTACACATGGACTATAACACACCAATCTTGTTTTTACACTGACTGGATACAGAGCAAAATCTCCAGAATATCTTGGTAACACAATGTTATTAACTAAATAATTTTCTGTTTTGATCAAGCTGGATGAAACAGCTAGGACAGAAACACAACCGTATTCCTTCATGCAGGGCCTGATGCAGACAGTCATGCAAAAAGCTGATGATTATACCATTTGGCACTGTGGGAAAAGCAAACCATTTTGGTGGACGACAGGATTTGCGTTTTCATGTGGCAGGTCTCTGTGGGTCAATAAATTAGTCCAACCAACTGATCATACCCTTCACCTTTCATCTGATGTTGCAGGTCAGAGTTTAGGCTATGGATTTGTAAACTATGTCGACCCAAACGACGCCGACAAGGCCATCAACACGCTAAATGGACTCAAACTGCAAACCAAAACAATCAAGGTAGGGAACCCAATCTTTCCATCAACATTCAAATACTCCAGAATGACCGAGGCACACAAACCTTCCTGCAGCCCACATGCTAGAGAAGGGTGCACTGGGAGAGAGAGGTGGCCTATAAAAAAAGGCAACGTTCTTTATGGCTTCAGGGTGGCCCAAATGACAAAGGCAGGTTGATCTCTGTCGTGGGGTTCGACTTTGGGACATTTTGCTAGCCAACCATGACCAGGATTTCCCAATTGGCAATGCTCAATTCAGCTCAGTGTCAGTGGGGGTAGGACGTGGGATTAGTCAGCCGGTTGTACTCTTGGGATCCCAGCAGAGAGCAATCCCTGTGATTTCCCGGGAACCCACCAGTTTACTGTGACATCACAGGGATGCATCGCTCATATAGCTTGAGATGAACCTGTGAACCACGAAAGGCTTGATGAGACACTGAGTCCAAAGAGCCTTCCTCTTTCTCCCTGTGCATGTCGACAGAGGGTGTCACAGGGAGCCAAGGCAAAAAGGCCCAATCGGAGATTCCACACTGGGTGGGAACAGAATAAAAAGAAAGAAGAAACACTAGAGGAAACTAGAGACACCAAAAACCAAAGATGGGGAGAGATATGAGAAAAAAAGAAGTACAGCTCTCCAAAAAGGAGAGACAGAAACTGAGAGAGAACAAGACAGAGAAAAAGAGTCACAATGAATGGGCCCAGATGGAGGGATCCAAGGGGAAGAGAGAGAGAGACAGGATGGTAGACAGATTGAGAGAAAGTAAAAATGTGTGCAGAGGAGGTATGGATGAAGACAGAAACAAGTGGAAAAGGAGACGAAAGAGGGAAGGGAGCAGACAGCAGCCCAAAGGGAAGACAGGAAAGAAAAGAGAGAGAGAGAAAGGGACAGTTTGAAGAGGGCAAACCAGAAACAAAGAGCTTCAACAAGAGTGTGTGCGATGAAGAGAGGGAGCGAGAACGTGAGAAGACAGAGAGAGGAGGAGGAGGAGGAGGAGGTCGGGAGGCAGAGAGTGCCAGTGCGCCAGGGCCTATTGTGATGGAAATGTAATTAAGGCAGCCTGACTCGGAGAGGGTGAGGGGGTCAGTCTAGGCTAGACCCCATCTGCAACACATCCCGCCTAATTAGGGGCTCCTTTGTTCCGTTGTCAGGACTTTGGGGGCTGGCAGGGCAGGAGGGGAGTGAAGGGCTGAGACTGGTGTAGCGCTTCCCTCCCCCGGGGTAAAAAGACTGAGAGAAAGAAAGGGAGAGCTGGGGGTGGGGCGGATCAGACAGGACGATTAAACACAGCCCCTCTTCCGCGTAGCATCTGAAACTCACACCTCCAGACCACAACAGCGCAGCCAGAGGAATGGAAAAGTTTAAAGAAAAAAAACAAAAAAGGAGCCCAGAATGCCAATTATAGGATTAGCGGCCATATGGTCTCTTTGGAATCACAGGAGGCCATCTGTACTGTGGGAGGGAGAGAGGGGACAAGGTTAATAAGCTGGTTCTTCTATGTCTCCCCCCTCCCTCTTCTGAAACAAAAAAAATCACCTTTACCCCCTCTTCCCCCACCACTATATAGCTTCTGCTACACTCCCCCTCTCTCACTGCAAAAACGCTAATTTCAATAATAATAACAACCCAGCTGCTGTTTTAATAACCACATCCCCCCTTCATCACCTGGGACAGCTTGCGGAGCTCCCCTCATCCACTCCTGAGATGAAATTAAAAAGCTTGCATTTCGCAGGACCCCAAGACGCGATCTTCTTCACCACTGTATTTATGTCAACACTACCTACTCATCTCCATTGTAATGTATAATAATTAGCTACTGTACTTTGCTGCTTTTTCACCCACAAATATGTGTGGCTCAATCTGTCGAGCAATCAGAGCACTAAGAACACTCATTTTAAAGCGAGCGAGGTTAATGAATTTCAAGGGTTTGATGGAGTTAGTTAGGCAAAGGAACTCCGAACATAAGAGCAAACCCTGCGTCTTGGCAGGGTCCTGCAGGCTCACACCAACTGCAGTCAAGGCCGGGGCACTGGCTGGCACTGTGGAGCTCAGGGCACGTTAACAGGTGACCAGTTCTTACAGGTGGGCATGCTGGAGGGGTCCAAGTGCCAAGTTGTGTCTTGAGTGGATACGGAAGCTGCTGCCAGAGAAATCATCGGTTGCAACCGGGGGGGTCCCCTGACCACAGGAGTGACCAAATGCAGATGGGATTGGACAGGCTTGAGATTGCCCTCAACTGAACCCCAATGGTTTGCAGGAAACCTGGCAGTCTGCAGTGACTAGTGAGAATGGCATTCCTCCTGCATTGGGAGACAATGCTGCTGTGGGCACTGTCACTCACAGTGGGCAGGGCAGCACTACAGTGGGCCCCATAGCTCTCGCAGTGGTCAGCAGAGTGTTTCCCTGGGCGCTATGTAACACAGTATGGCTGGATAGCGCTGCCGTGGGCACTGTCACTCACAGTGGGCAAGATAGCACTAAAGTGGGCCCTCGCAGTGGGCAGGATAGGGCTGCTGTAGACATCGTGTCACTCGCGGTGGGCAGATGGCTGTGACATGGGCATGGTTCGCAGGCAAGCGCATGCAGCCCTGATGGCCTTCCGTGCTGACAGGAGGGTGGAAGAAACGCCACTTGCAAACATACCACAAAGCGCTCTGGAACAGAATACGACTTGACATGTTAATAACAATTAGGGTCACCACAGCAGAGAGAAGCACTGGCACCTAGTAACACAGCTTAGCTATTTAGAAAAAAAAGCTTATTGACTCAATTTTTAAGTGCAATAAACATAGCGTTCGCTAAACCTGACTGGTCACAAGTTCACTGAGCCCTCATGTACCCCAGAAAGCTATACTAGAATTGAGCTTCTGGCCAATTAACAAAGTTCAGACGTGGTTCTGATGGGGGGGGGGGAGGAGGGACACACAACATGCATGTCTTGAGCTCTATAGACATCAGCCTGGAAAAGCTCATCTCTTTTCCATAGAGCAACTAATTACACCTGCAGAGAGTGAGTGTTGGCCTGAACCTGTTTTGCTCTGGGAGGTGGTAGGGAGGTTGCCTACTGAGCTGTTGCCTGGTTGCGATGATGATGCTGCAGATGAGTATGGGCAGCGTCTGTTTATCCCTTTTACCTGGCTGCCTAAGATCCCCCCTGGGGAGTAAATTTAGGGAAGGAGGCAGGGTGAAGGGGAGGGTGCTCGATTCTATCTCTGCGGCTGATGCATCTGCTGCTTTGCTCCACCTTGGAGGCTGATCCATGTTCATTCGAGAGGCGCCGAGCCTCTCCCCTCAGGCCAAGGAACAGAGGCGCGATAGCAAGAGAGAGGGGGAGATGGAGCTCATTAATTTGGGTTCTAATGAAGGGAAAGCTGCAGAACCGACAGGTCCCCCGTGAAAACACCTGTAGCTCTCAACACGGTTTGAGCGCTGTTTTTTTTCTACCGAAAGGAGATGATTTATTAATGCAGCTCACTGGCTATGAAGCAGGGCGAATGCTAGGCCTGCGAAACAACTGAACAGCAAACAGAATTTGCCTGCCTTTGATTAATGACCTTGAGCTGTATCCCTGTGGAGTGCAGGCCAGGCTACATCTAAACACCAATCGCTGGGTTTTCAATCTACACATGTGCAAAGCTTGGAATAGGATCCTTTCTTACAAAAGAAGTAGGGAGCCCTAGACACCGTTTATCATTCAATGGATAACGAGATCTGTGCCGTTAAGGCAGGCTTCAAACATCACATGGTCTGAATTTTATGTTGCACTCTTAGGGAACACAAAAAGAGAAAAAGTGTAAGCAATCGTGTTTCAAATTCAGTTAAATGAAGAATCAGTATAGAACTAAAATTAAGCCAGAATATCTTTGAAGGAGAAAAGGCTGCTACCAAAAATGCAGTCGAGTCCAGTCCCAATTTTGGGATGGGGACACTGTACCGTTTCCTTTGACTTCCAAGAGAGATACTAGAGATTGTACAAACCCAAGTAAAGAAGGCTGAGTAGAGGGTCTGATAATACAGCATCTTGTCATGTTTTTCATTCGTGCTCATAACAGGTGACATTGCTTGTGTATTTCTGAGCATCAAAATGTGACTGCAGAGGTGAGATGCTGTGAAAAATCAAACCTGAAAACAAAGAAACATACTGGTGCTGTTGGTGTTTTTCTTGAAAAGCCTCATGACCCATTCCTTGTTTTTGTGTTCTTTTGTGTTCTCTGAAGTCAGTTTTTCAGCAGGGTGTGAGATAAGGGGGTGTGAGGTAGGGAGGTTGGGTGGATGGGGGGTGCGAGTTTATCAGTAACCTTGAAATGCAGTGCACGCTGACAGATGCGTAGGCCGGTGTGTTGCCGTGGCGACGGCAGGGATGGGAGAGGCTCTAGGGACTGAGGTGTTTTTGTGCGGCGAGCAACAGTCGCCCCAGTGCATTGTGGGACAGAGCCAGCAGTCGAGCGATGCAGAGGCCCCTGCATGCGAGTGTGTGTGTCTGTGTGTGGAAGCGCATCGTTAATGGAAAATCACAAGGAAGCCAGCGTGAAGACTGAAAGGGGAAAGGATAGGAAATTAGGAAATGTACCATCTGGAGAGATTAGGAATACAGAAAAGGCGTGGCAGAGACTGCATCAGGGACAGTAGACAACATACATCATAGCTTCTGGGCGTTTCTACTTGTAGGCCGCCTTTCAATCCTATCCTCTTCTTTTTCACAATGAGCAACTCTACCAAGAGATCACAGAACAAACCAAAAATATTTCTCTATGTTCCACTCAGAACTGGACAACACGAGGAATCTCTCCCCCATTCCAGCCACAGGAAACAGAATTGCCAGAGAATTTGATTTACTTTTTTAGATGTGTATATACTGAGTTATACAGCAGGAGTACACATACATATAGTACATATATGTGGCAGGTGCACTCAAGCCCAATCTCTTCCAGTTACACCAGGCCCCACCTGTAAAAAGCTCACTTCAAGCCTGTCAATAAGAAAATGCTGTATATATGCAATGAGGATGCAGCCTAAGGATTTTGCACCCCTAGTTTGAAAAAAAAAAAGATTATTGATCAAAATTCAATACACAACAAGTATTTACACAGTGCCCACTGGTAGGGACCACCCTTTTCAAACATTATAGGGATGAAATGAAAGGAAAAAGGAAAAAGGTGCTATCAATCCAATTGTGTGAGCACTCAGAGATCCTTTTATCAGGATCACCAGGGGATGCTCCAATCCTGGAAGACAGCTAATGGAAAGGCAGGGGAAGGGAGCAAAATAAAAAAGGGAAAGAAAGTAAGAATGAGTGACAGGAGGAAAAATAGGGACTATAAACAGGGTTAGAGATAAAGTGGGAAAGACAACAAGAGCAGGAAGGAGAAGGAAAGAGAGCAACTTCAGAAGAGTAAGTGACAGAAAAGGGAAAGAGAGCAGGAGAAAGAAGAGAATAAGGTAGTAATGGGGAGATGCAGGAAGAAAAGCATCCTTTCACAGTAGCCACAATGGAGAAAACTACATCCATGCAGCGCCCACCCACCTCCCCCACACACACAGCCGCCTGTGTCCACACCTTGTGCCATACTGCTGCATCAGATGGCTTATCTGTGCGTGGCTGACATCAGGTGCTTTCCTTAATGGTATGTTGTGTCAGCCAGACTTTCAGATGTAGGAACATCAAGTGGCATCTCTTTTCATCTGAAGATAAGCACTCAGTCACCACAAATCCTCCGCCGTACAGCGGAATGCCTATTGTTCGGCTGCCTTTCATCCTCAGCAACAGATGTAACATGTCTTTAGAGCTCGGCTTTCATTTTTTTTTTAATTTAGCAAAAGCCATCAGTGAAAAACAGACATCACAGCATGAAGCTGGAGCTCTGCTCCAAGACAGCTCTGTTGAAATTTTCTGCCTTTTTTACATTCAAATCAGCTATCTGTCCCTTGCTGGGATAGCCATAAACGAGAACAGACCTAATCATTCTGTGGGATGATTAAAAAACTCTGTTTCATGTCTTCCATCAACATACCCAATGGCCTTTGTAACAGAGATGAACTAAATTAATGCCGCCACATTAACCTGCTATTACTGTAATGAGTCCCTACATAAGACAGGCATCTCAAGACAACACTGGCTTGACAATGTTGCGAGGACACTGGCAATCCTGTACTTTAAATTGTTCTGTCTTGCGGCCTTGTGCTTCATTACAGTGTGAAAAATCACACCCTCCATACAGAATGCCATGACATAAGATTTAATGCAAGCCAACCCCCTCCCTGTCCTGCAGGTGTCCTATGCTCGGCCCAGCTCAGCCTCCATCCGTGATGCCAACCTCTATGTCAGCGGGCTTCCCAAGACCATGAGCCAGAAAGAGATGGAGCAGCTGTTTTCTCAGTACGGCCGGATCATTACCTCGCGCATCCTGGTGGACCAGGTGACAGGTACAGCCTTGACTCACTCCTGCAGCTATGCGTGACAGGACTCATGCACCTAGCCACTTACAGAAGAGACACCATCTGACTCTGAAACCTAGACAGTGTAAAACAGGTACAAACTGGCAGAGGACCAGGTCTTTCAGCATGGACATGGTAATCACTAGCTAGGGAGTGGCACTGTGTGTTCTCAGAGCCTTCAAGCGGGCAGGGGCAGGGAGAGCCACACCTGTCACATACGTACACACTTCCTGCCCCACTTGTTGCCCTGTGTGTGCATGCACCTACTGTATCAATGTGGAGGCAAAATGTGGAAAAAATTCCCCAGAAAGATACATTGAAAGGCATTAAGAACACAACAGATAAGCATAGGAAACAATGGCATTTGTTGCATTTATTGATGCCTCTAAATATAGTCACTACTGAAAGACCAGGGACTTTTTGCAGGGATGTCCATACAATCTAAAAGACTTTTTGTTTTGGGCAAAATTCCTTTGGGTTTCTATTAGGTCCGAAAGTGCTAAAATGGTGTCCCTTTGAGCAGGTTGACCTAAACCCCAAGTCCATCCCCTCAGTCTATTATCTCTACTATCTGTCTAAGAGGAGTTAGCATTTTCAGAAGAACACACATTTAGAGCTCGAGCCTTTACACGCTCAGGAAAATCTGCAATATATTAATTATCCCAGACTGAGCGATGAATTTGAACTGAGCATGTTCCATCATGTTCCCTATGGAGATACTGACCCGTCAACAATGAAATTCTTCAGCTTCCAATCACTGATTAAGCATTTTTACATTTCGGAAGAGAGACCGGCACAGAAATCACCCCCACCTTTTCGGGAATTTCAGTTTTGATTGCAAAAGGAGGTTCGGCCCGCGGCATTACTCCACACCAGGTCCTAACATTTCTGTTTGCCCCGGAGCAGGCATATCACGAGGAGTGGGATTCATCCGGTTCGACAAGCGCAACGAGGCTGAGGAGGCCATCAAGGGGCTGAACGGGCAGAAGCCACTGGGTGCCGCCGAGCCCATCACTGTCAAGTTTGCCAACAACCCCAGCCAGAAGACCGGCCAGGCCCTGCTCACACAGCTGTACCAAACCGCCGCCCGCCGCTACACCGGGCCCCTGCACCACCAGACGCAGAGATTCAGGTATTGCCTCACTGAGAAGGGCGAAGAGGGCGGGGTGGCGTTGTTGCATCGGATTTTGCCTGGGTACTCAACAGTCCAGTCCCATCCAAAGTACAAGAGTGTCGCACTCAGCCCTTTAAAATTCTTTCAGTACCTTGCTGCCCCCCTCCGAAATGCAATTCGCAAGCTGCAAGTCCAAGAGCCCCGTAAAAAAGGACTGACCGATCTCCAGTTCCCTATTATTCTGCACGCTTCTTTGTTTCAAATGCCTTCCGGCAGACCAACATTTTTAGTTTTTGTCTCAAAAAAGGCACTTGCCATCAAAGACACAGGGTGACCACAGTGATAAGAATGTGGTCTGTTTCTGATGCTTTTCAATTGCAGGGTTGTGGTTTTGGCAACCCTGACCGACAGAGCAGCGGGTAATACAGTATTACAAGATGCTGCTGCTGTGTGCAAAAAAAACACTCTCATGGGGCTAACATGGAAAAAATGTATTGTGCTCATATACGCACTACTGTATGTGCTTTACGAACAGGGTTTCATCAAGGCAAATCCTTTTAACTTAAAAAACCTTCAAAGAAAAGCTGCAAAACTGGGTTAGTACTTTTATCCTGGTAGCTCAGTTGCAAACAATGTGATCATGAAGCTTTTTCTAACATAATAGAGATAGTGAGTGTACATACTTGTACATTACTTTTTATAATAAGAAAGCTCTCAAACTGTTTTTATATACAGTATGTATAGATATACATCATGCTCCACGCATACTGAGATGACAGAGGATGAAGAGGTCTTGACAGGACACCCATCCCTATCAAAACCCTTGATTAAAATCTGTTACTTAGAGACAAGCACCTTTCAAGTTGAGCCCTGAGAAACAAAGCTGAATTTTGTTTGAATTAAACTGAAATTGCAAATAACCAACGCTACCTGATTTGCAAAATGAAACTGTTCAACAACTTCCGCACATTTAATTTTTTAAACCCACTCGACACCACATTTACCTTCAATTGAGCAATTAGCCTACAGATTATTCCTGACCTGGCTCGTTGTACAATTGGAGCTGAATTTGCCTTAAGAGGTAAGCAGTGATGAAGAGATTCACTAGGAGCACCTCCCTATCTGTGAGCCAATTTTTACACATTGTTTTGCTTGAAATGTGCTATTTGATCTGCAGCTGTTTTTTTTTCTTTAGAACAAACTGTGTTTAAGCGATATTACATTCCTTAGCATATGAATGCTGATCACATGAGTGGCACAAGCACTCTAACTATCAATAGCTCAATTAGCTCTGCAGCTGCAGAAGACCAATTACTTGCCATTAGTTGACGGATGCTAAAATAAAACGCGAGGCTCAGGGTTGAAATTGAAAGCGATTTAGATTTACTCTGGGGGAATCAGACAACGCCCAGGGCTGATCCAGCACTGTGTGAAGTGCATGTTACAGGGGGCTCGTGATTTTATGTTCTAAAATGCACACAATGGAAGTGTTATGCGGCTTTCTTCTCCTAAGAAGAATGAAAAAAGAATGAAAAGAAGTAATGAAAAGTGACTACACTTAAAGTAGCATGTATGGGCAACAGAAGAAAAGATTTACTTCATAAAGAATGTGTATGGAAAATACTTTTACTACATTTCACCTAGCAAGGAAGCAGAAAGGTTTTATTTAGGAGGCATTTGAAAAAAAGAAATTGTGCAACCCAACCCTCCACTTCGACAGTGTATAAAAATCAAGCTGCTTTATGGCCTTCTCCTGCTCTGAAGGTTTTGCCACTTGTCTGGTTTGAATTGCTCACAGTCCATTAGCCTGCTCCTTCACTCGTACGAGGAGCCGCCCAGGGAAGGAAAGTGCGCTGTGCTGATTCCTTGCGCTGCGACAAGCCGAGCGCGAGCGCTGGCGTGCACAAGTGTCCGAGCGGTCTCTCTCTAACTCTCCTCTCTTGCTTGGCCTGTCATGGGTGACAACAGTGAAAACAACCAAGAATCTTTTTGTTTTTTTCTCTTCCCTTTTCCTTTAAACTGCACTGTCCCTTCTTCACCCCTATGGCATGAGGCAAAAAAAACATACATGGGAGAGGCACAGCTAGAGACGCAACACAAACGTGTCTAGCTCTACGGAGCATGACTGCCCACCAAGACGTTTTGAAGGAAGGGACCTGCATTTCAGATTGCAGGATCATTAAGGTCTTTATGGCCACAATCCAGGTGTTTTTTCTTGGTCATGACACTTTATTAACCCAGATTAATCTCTCTCCTGTAAGATGTTAAACTAAGCCGAGCTAAGAGTGAAAAGATAAACCCTTAACCTCGCACGACTTCTGGCCTTAGAGTCCTTGACTGTTCGGGCAACTTTCCAGATGCTACTGTTAAACACTCCAGCTGATCCTGTTCGAGCGGAGCAGGACTGGTAACAAAAACTCAATTCTACATTGAAACCTAAAATTAACATAGTGCAGCAATGATCCTGCCTCCTCTTCACGGCCAAGCCTGCACTGCCTCAGCCAAGAGCATCAACGCCAAATCTGTGCCAAAGTGCTTAGTCAGCGGATTGTGACGTGTAACAGGGTTTGTCTGAAACTATTTGTGAAAACCCTCTCATTTCCAACACGTCCAACAGAAGGACCAATGATCTAAAGCAGACTAATGAAAACTCATTTTCTCAATTCACTTTCCCTGTCCTTGATTCAATGTAATCTGAAGCACCAAAGCAGTACAGACATGCACAAACATACCAAGCATTATTGTCCTTTGAAAAAGAATTTAAGTGAAGCAAGTAGGGATACAAAGGGGACATTTTTTTTTTGCTAGTGTGCCCTTGAGCAGGCAGTACCAATTGGCCATCCCACGCTGACTCAGACGAAAGCAGGGCTGTGAACAGGAGCCAACATAAACATAGTCGTCAGATAAAGTCTCTCCCTCCCCCCACCCACCGCCAAGGGAACGCAACCTCGGACCGCTTTGCTTTACTAACACAGCTAGCTAACTTCGTTCAAAACAGCGAGGAAAAGGCACTTGAGAATCAAAGCTTACTTATGAGGAGGCCGACGACCATCCCTTTAGGAAATAATGTATCCCCACACCTCCATTTCGGACAGAATAATACCAGATTTCAGAAAGATGCTATCTGTTTGTAATAAGAAGCACTTGCATGCCTTTACAAATTTCTACCATGTAAAGCAAAGGAAGGCATTGTTAATACACAGTGCATAAGGGGTAGGTAAGATAAACTAATTGTGGGAAGGCATAGTAACCAAATATATAGTATCACCACAGGAAACCTGCAAACCTAATACACATGCTTTAATGCTGTAAACCTTAACACATTTCTTTGATCCTCTCCAACAAATCAACTTTAAAAAGGACAATGTAGTCCCTGGAAAAGAAAACTGCAGAAATTTAGAAGTATGCAGGTATGTGAATTATGCCTACAGCATCTTTCTTTTGGGCTTGCAGGGTTGAAGAAGTGGAAAGAGTGCACGTTTAAAACGAAAAAGGCCTCTTTTTTCTGTCTCGCAGAACTCTCTACTAACGTGTGCACCCCCTTCCATTTTCCCCCTCTTCCATTGCAGACTCGACAATTTACTTAACATGAGCTACGGAGTCAAGAGGTAATGAACGTTCCGAGGCCTGTCTGGCTAGCCATGTCAATATAGCCCAAAACAATATATATATACAAACACGAACAAGTTCAAATTTGGCAGTGTCACTGGACATTTATCTGCTGACTGAACCAGTAATCGACTCATCCTCACAGTGGATCTGTTCTGATTTTCAAGAGGGAGGGTTGTGTAGTTACAGGATGCATCATCCACAACCGTATGGCTAGATTCCCACAATGCACGGGTAGCGTTTGAGGGACAAAACATTTCCATAATGTACGCTGGGGATGGTGGGCTTGCAAGGAATTTTACAGATCTACCATTGTCCTTCTAGAGGTATGCTAAAAATAAAACCTTAATATACAAGAAGGGAAATCGCATGCGCAAGTAGCCATTAGTAGAAGAGCCCTGGACTGAAACTTGCTCAAAAACCCAACAAAAAGAAATTTAGAGCCACAGCCATACCTCCATGCAGAACTTTTCTCAAAAACACTTCAGCAATGGCACACTTGGAAAGAAGGCAACAGAGTTTTGTAAACTGGACTATCTAGTTGATCCTATAGCAAAGGTTGTTCCCACACGTGAGCAAGGCGGGGAGGACTGGGATGGTTCCGTCGTGCTTGCAGGCAGCCGAACAAGCTGTCAGTGCTCAAACAGCACAGAGTGCCGCCAGGTTAGTGACAGCATGGGTAAGCCAGGGTTCTCCCGGCTCCCAGGCAAACAGCATGTCTTGCCAGGCACACTCAGATGAAAGAGACGCAGCAGTGCCCAAGTCAGTGCCGATGCTCCCATCAGGCCCTGCGGAGCTCACGGCGCGGCAGATGACGAATGGCACTGCAGGCGGGTTTGTTGGAGGAGAATGCCTGCATGTCTCGCTCCCTCCCGAACTGGCAGAAGGACCTGCTGGAGAGCCAACTCTTCAAAAAGCAATAGGCGCTTCCAGATTCAATGAACATAATACAAAAAATAAAGAATTTGTAAAAAAAGAAAAAGAGGCCCAAACAGAATCTGCTCCTCATGAAATTAACATTCTATGCAGATGTTTAGTTATGCATCAGGAGTAAATACCATTCAGGATGTGTTGAACTTCTGCAGAAACTAATAACATTTAATCACAGTGACAAGAACAGGAAAGACATGTTTTTGCGTTTAAGGAGAATCTTAGGACAGGAAAGAAAGATCAGCCTGGTAGGTCTGGTTACTGCTAGCCGAGACAAACAGAGTGCACGAGACCCGTTCAACTTGTTTGCATGTCTTCATCCAGCTAACCAAGGTTGCCACTGAATTATTCATCACTTCAAATATTCAACCATGAATTTTTAATTGGAACTAAAAAGGGAGAGTCTTTAATTAAATGCTCTGACAAAACGAGCCTTTCGCCAAAGAAGTCCAACAACAGACGGGTCCCAAGCGAAGGAATTAGAAAATTAAATGCGAGTGTTTTTTATTTGATGTGCCAAATTGGCAATGCGTCTCTCACTGTCAATGCATATTATTGTCTCGCTAGAATTCAACACAAAAATGAATTGGCTAATCATTTCCCAAAGTTTCGGCTTGCATTTTGGGTTTCTAAAAGAAAAAATCAAATCAGAGTACAGGATCAACAACAACAACTCTTTTAATGTTTGGTCTTTTCCCCTAAATGCAGATCTAGGAAATTACTTCATTTATATCTTCATTAAGTGAAGTCCACCTTCCGCGCGCACGCAATAAAAGCAAAGTAAGGAACTTGTTGAAGATATTTTAAGCTTAGTCTTAACATGGGTCTCAAAGAGCAAGACATGAACTCCCAGTCGCATTTCAAAAGTAGGTAAAAAGGTAATATGAACAAGTCCACAAAGAGGATTGATTACTGGCTTAACAGCGTTAAATTCCAGTATTTTTTCTTTTTGTTTTCTTCCTTTATTCAACTAACTTTTATTTTTTCTTTTTTTTGCTTTCCTTCTACCAGCATGGATAAAAAAATCAAGATTTATTTCCCTTTGGAGTTCAGTTTGTGTCTCTCTCCTTCTTCTCTTGGGCATATTCTAGTTTTCAGTTGAGTTTTTGGTTTTTGTTCTAGGTTTATCTGTGTTTTGTTCAATATCACGTGGCTGTCTCTCATATCGTGGAAGCCTTGAACTGCAGAGCTAGGTGAAAAAAATCCAAAAATGTCTTGTATGCAAAAGATCGATTCTTGTATGTGTGTGGCAGCAATCAACACAGAGCCTGTGACCATAGCGTATATTTCACTTATTCCAGGCAGGTGTTGAGAATGCATAGGCTCACGATCCTATCTTAGAGATGAGGGAGTGTACTACTGGTTCTGGAGGGACATTGTCAGCATGTTTTCACACCAGCTCAGCTCTTAATATCCCATTTGTGCTAATTACGGATTTTAAAGTTTAGCAGCTTTTCATAGTTCATTGGGTGCTGAAGCTTTCAAGAGATTTACAAAACCTGCTGGACTGTGACACACCAGGACCAGGGGTGGACAGCCCAGGCATATGCAATGTTTGCACAGACATACAAGAAATCATCAAACACATACAGTGTGGGTATTTTTAGATTTTTTTTCTGCACTGTGGGTCAGGTCTTCGATATGAAATAGATATTTCAGTTTCTCTGCCATGGTTTCTTTTAGAGGCTAGGGAGAGAAAGGGCTTTGTTCAGTAGGTGTAATAAATAAATTCAGTGCCTTTAAGCACAAAAATATCCAAAACCAGCATAAACAAAACTCTACCATGCTCATTCAACATACAGTAAGTGACTGACACAGACAGGAATCCTGGCACCCTTAAATCCTGCAGGAATACAGATAATTTGTGCTTTAAGAAACTTGAAAAAAAAATGAAAATAATGTATTTGAAAGACAGCACTTAGTTTTAAACAGCCATGCTTTTGTGTCGCATACTCATGGCATTTAGAAAAAGAAAAACTCTACTGAAGGATATAATCACTTATCACAAAAAGCAATGCACTCATTCATTCTCTGACCTTAACACATCTTTCATGTCACACAATGCCGCTAGTTCCCAAGGAGCATGACTCACAGGCGGTCTAAGAATGCTCTTATTTTTAGCCTTCAAAAGTTTTAATTATTAAGAATTGTGCTACACAACAAGGCTGAAACATCTCTGCCTTTTCAAACGGACTGAGAGGAGAGGGAGCTATTTGAAAAGCACAGATAGAAAAAAAAAGCCAATTGCTACAAACAGAGCTGCTCCAGCTGAGGTGTAGCGACTCTGTGCTGCATATTTCTTCCCAAGACAGCTGGACCAAACTCTGCGAAAGCTCTTCCTAATGTTCAGTGGTTTTGCTACCTGTAATTTCTCACTGGCTAACAGGCAATGGTTCTTCATTGTTTTCCCAATGAAGAAAAAGAAAAGCCCTTTCTCTTTAGCCTTTTGTCCAGCAGGCTTGCACTTCTGTAGCATACAGTGGTGACATGACAATCACACTTATCCACCAGCTAGTGTTTGCAGAAACTGCGAAACAGATTTCTTGGCTATACAAACTAAGACGAAGGCTGTTCCTTATTCATTTTTTTATCCAAACTCTGGATTGAGAGCATACTCATACTGTGTCATCTGATGCAGTGAGAGAGCTCTGCATTTGCCGACATACTTGACTTTGTTTGCTTTGTTTTGGTTACAGAAACCAGCCCCTAAGGTCTTATGTTCTTAGGGCCTTTACTTTGTTTTTCGTGGATTGTTTCACACAGTAGATTAGCCATTAAAGAGAAAAAAACACCCATAATGCATTGCGTAGAGTGCGGCCAACTTGAGAACTTCAGAATCACACCCAAAGTAGCTCTCCCTCCCTTCTCCCTAGGTTCTCACCCATCACCATTGACAGCATGACCAGCCTAGCTGGAGTCAACCTGACAGGGCCCACGGGAGCTGGCTGGTGCATCTTCGTGTACAACCTGTCGCCCGAGGCCGACGAGAGCGTACTGTGGCAGCTGTTCGGACCCTTCGGCGCCGTCACCAACGTCAAGGTCATCCGCGATTTCACCACCAACAAGTGCAAAGGCTTCGGCTTCGTCACCATGACCAACTACGACGAGGCCGCCATGGCGATCGCCAGTCTCAACGGCTACAGGCTGGGCGACCGCGTGCTGCAGGTGTCCTTCAAGACCAGCAAGCAGCACAAGGCATGAGGTGTCAAGGAAGAAGACTGGGGGAGGGGGGAAGGGCGGGGGAATGGAGAGGATAAACTTGTAGGAAGGAAAGAAAAACCAAACAGAATCAAAACGAAGAATATACAGTGAGCAAAAAACGCTAGAGGAAATTAGGAAAACAAAAATGTTCACCAAAAGCAAGGGAGCCCCCATTTGGGTTAAATCCTATTTGACTTAGATTAAATTACAGTCCTACTGGTAATCATTTTACAGTATAATAGAGCATCTGTAGGTTTGCCTGTACTGAAGCATATATGGCGTGTAGCATCTGCAGTCACATCGGTGTCTATAGAGTTTAGAAGTTGCTATTCAGGAAAGGTTCTAGGAAGCAAAGCTGCATGTGCTGTATCTATTTATGCAGTCCACTGCTGTAGCCAAAACGAGCACAGGACTGCTCTATAGGCAACAGGGACCCCAGCACATAGGGATGAGATTTCGGCTAATGCCACGCAGGACTGGGAAGTTGGGGAGACGCAGGGTGGTGAAGAGCAGTGCTGTGCAAGTTAACGTGATTTTGGGCAAGCAAAAATTGAGTTAAAAAAATTAGAATTAAGTACAGTTATGCGATTTTGCCCTACAACCTGCTCCCTATCTTCTTCTGTCTGATACGTACAAAACATTTGGGAAAGGGGAGGGGGCGAGTACAAGAACCAAACTTCGGCAAGAATTAAGTATATAATCGTAATGGATTAGTTTCCCACTGGGTATTTGCAATCGACGATTTTTATTAAAAATACAAAAAAAAAACACAAAAAAAACAAAAAGCCAGTGTTAGCTTATATATATTATAAATATATAAATATATATCAATATATATCGCGGTTGTAACAGCCAAGTAAGCAAGCAATTTTATAAAACAAACTTTGACTACTATTTCCTAGATCAACTTTATGGTGCAAATCTACTTTGGCGTTTCCCAGTCACGAGAGGTTTCTAGCCAGTTTTAGGCTGTATAGAAGAGTAGTGGGAGCAAGGTCGCGACGAGTGAAATTCAAACAGAGAAGCTTCTTTCCTAATTTTACAGCGGGATGAGATTTAAGATTTTAAAATGGCAAACTCTGGGGGGGGTAAGGGGGACAAAAACACAAGATGCTTGCTCACACACGAACAGGCAAACCGAAGAAAAAAAACGTTTATACACCGAGGCTGCGGCAGTTTCAATGTGTTAAAGACCATGCGTGTGAAAAACAGCTACCAGCGATGTTAGTTTTTCTTTTCAGGAAAGTCCCACTTATAACATTTTTTTTCTAAAACAAGGGGGGTTGATTATGGAATTCTAAACTGGCTCTTTAATTTTGTGGATTTCCAGGTGATCCCCTGACATTCATTCATTGCGAAAATGAACCCCTATCCCAGCAGATCAAAGCCTAAAACTCTTAGATGTTCACGACAGTCCAAATCTGCAATATGGGAAGGGGACGGTGCCTTGACTGCTGGTGTAATTACTATCCATTGCCTCACTGTGTTTCTGAGGTTTCCATAACAAAATCCGACTCACGTAGACAGATGGATACCAAATTAAACCAACAGAAAGGGATCCAAAGGTGGTTAACTTTAACACCGCCGCAGTGAACTAGTAACGACCCAGACTTAAGCCTGTGAACACCTTTATCTGGTTGAGCCCCCTACAGACAGTTTTGAAAACGTGAACAGCCATACGTTGCTTATTTCTGCACTTGCGTTCCGCTTGCCACTTTCAGAAACAGGGCTCCCAGCAATCCTCTCTCTGGATCGAACTAATTGCATCAGCCAGAAGCACGCTGCGGAAACTGAACATTACGAAACAGCCAGAAGCACGCTGCGGAAACCGAACATTGTGAAACAGCCGGAAGCACGCTGCGGAAACCGAACATTGTGAAACAGCCGGAAGCATGTTGCAGAAACGGAAGATTACAAAATGGCCAGAAGCATGCTGCGGAAACCGAACATGATGAAACGGCCAGAGGCACGTTTCAGAAACCGAAGATAACGAAACAGTCAGAAGCCCGTTGCGAAACCGAACATTACGAAACAGCCAGAGGCACATTGCGGAAACCGAACATTACAAAACAGCCAGAGGCACATTGCAGAAACCGAACATTACGAAACGACCAGAG